ACAGAGAGTCTGCTTCTCCCTCTCCCTTTTCTGTTCTCCCTGCTTGTGCACTCTCTCTGTGTGTTGAATAAATAAATAAATAAAATCTAAAAAAAATTTTTTTAAAGGCTCCCAGAGCTGCCCCCTGAAATCACAATAAAACCCAACACTTGACTGAAGCCTAGAGTCCCTGTGTGATCAGGTACCAGCCTTCCCCTCCAACCCCATCTTGTCACAGTCTGCCCACCTTTCTTCACCTCCTTCTACCTAGATGCTCACACAGTTGTGTGTGTCACAAAAAACCAAAAGGTATAAAAAGGTATCCAAGGGACGCCTGGGTGGCTCAGTCGGTTAAGCGTCTGCCTTCGGCTCAGGTCATGATCCCAGGGTCCTGGGATCGAGTCCCACATCGGGCTCCCTCTTCCACGGGGAGCCTGCTTCTCCCTCTGCCTCTGTCTCTCTCTCTCTCTCTGTCTCTCATGAATAAATAAATAAAATCTTAAAAAAAAAAAAGGTATCCAAAAATTGGAACCCTTGCACACAGCTGGTGGCCATGTAAAATGGCGCAGCTACTTTGGAAAAGAGCGTTGGCAGTTCCTCTGATGGTTAAACATTGAGTTATCAAATGACCCGGAAATTTCACTTGTACATCTATGCCCAAAAGAATTGGAAATATCTGTCCACACAAAAACTTGTACACAGATGTTCATAGCAACATCAGTCATAATGACCCCAGAGTGGAAACCTTAAGTGCAGATTACTAAGTGAAAGAAGCCAATCTGAAAAGGCCCGTATACTGTATGATTCCAATTATATGACATTCCAGAAAAAACAAAACTATGGAGACAATATAAAGATCAGTGGTTGCCAGGGACAAGGAGTGGGGGAGATGAAGAGGCAGAGCACAGACGATTTTTAGGGCGGAGAAATTACTCTGTATGTTAATGAGGGATACATGCTGTTATACTTTTGTCCAAACCCATAGAATATACAACACCAAGAGTGAATGTACAACTCTAAGGTAAACTGGGGACTCTGGGTGACTATGATGTGTCAGGACAGACTCATCCTTGTAAAAACATGTGCCATTCTAGTAAGCGATGTTGAAGATGGCAGAGGCTATGCATGAGAGGGGGCAGGAAGTATACTGGCAGTCTCTGTACCTCCCTTTCAGTTTTGTTGTAAACCTAAAACTGCTCTTAAAAAACAAGATCTTGGGGGTGCCTGGGTGGCTCAGTCGTTACGTGTCTGCCTTCGGCTCAGGTCGTGATCCCACGGTCCTGGGATCGAGCCCCGCATTGGGCTCCCTGCTCCGTGGAAAGCCTGCTTCTCCCTCTCCCACTCCCCTTGCTTGTGTTCCCTCTCTCACTGTGTCTCTCTCTATCAAATAAATAAATAAATAAAATCTTAAAAACAAACAAACAAACGAACAAGCAAGAACTTGGGGCACCTGGCTGGCTCAGTCAGTGGAGCATATAACTCTTGATCTTAGGGTTGTGAGTTCAAGCCCCACATTGGTGTAGAGATTACATAAAAATAAAATCTTAAAAAAAGATCTTAAGAGCGCACACACACACACACACACACATACCCCAAGACAGAAAAAGACATAATTAAAAAAAAATTGAGTGAGTTAGTGATGGAAATGAGACTGAAGGTCACTGTAGCCAAACACGGCCAGCCAAGAATAGCAAAGTGCCCCCGGAAAGACTGAATGGGCTAGGGAAAAGCAAATCAAAATATGTCCTTCCTTTGCTCAAAACTTCCATAACTCCCCATGGCCCTCAAGAGAAAATCCAAATGCCCTGTGTTTGCCAGGCTCTGCATGAGCTGGATTCTATCTTCCTCTCAGTTTCTTTTCAAGAACATGGATCTCACTGGTGGTTTGCTTTTATATTGCTTGAATGAACCATTCCCTTTCTCTCTCTCATTGACTCTCTCTTTCCCCCCCTCTCTCCCTTTCTCTATCTCCCCACCCCCTCACATACACACACACGGTTTCCCTGAAACCCTCCCCTGCCCTTCCCACTCTCTTAGGCTCACACACACCTATACACCTGCCAAGTTCAGCTCAGACTTGACCTCCACCAGGAAGCTTCCCTGATAGAGGTTACAGCTCACACAAGAGCCCAGGGGAGGGACCACGGTGGTGAGTTGGGGCAGCAGGGAGGAGTGGAATGAGGGGGGAGCTGGAGGAAGGAGATCAGAGGTAATGCGGGGGGGGGGGGGGTGCCATCACAGAAAGCCTTATCAATCATAGTAAGGCTTTTACTCCAAGTGAGGTGGGAGCCATGAGCGTTTTGAGCAGAGGGACATAGTCTGACTTAGGATTCCTTTGTGGGGCACCTGGGTGGCTCAGTTGGTTAAGTGACTGCCTTCAGCTCAGGTCATGATCTCAGGGTCCTGGGATCGAGTCCCACATCGGGCTCCCTGCTCCTTGGGAGCCTGCTTCTCCCTCTGCCCCTCTCTCACTCTCTGTCTCTCATGAATAAATAAATAAAATCTTAAAAAAAAAAAAAAAGGATTCCTTTGTGTTCTAGAGGGTGGCTGGTGAGAGCAGAAGCAAGAAGACCCAACACCCTCAATCAGAATTAATGCCCACTTGGTCTGTGCACCCAGAACCCATGCGTGAACTGCTTTAAACAAGCAAAAGCCTTTATTTCTTTTGTTCTATATTCTAGTTATCTATAAGCAGGTGCAAAGCACAGTGGTTAAGACCAAGGGCTCCAGAGGCTGGCCCCTGGGTTGAAGCCCAGCCTCTCCACCTAATAATCCAGTGTTATTTAGTTTGTTGGAACCTCAGGGTTTGGTTTTTTTCCTTATAAAATGGGGTTGATAAATTGTACTGACCTCCACAAAATTGTGAGGATTAAATGAGTTAATCTATATGAAGGATACCAAGAGCATGGTCAGTGCTCAGTAAATATTAGCTGTTACTACAAAGTGTCTGTCTGCAGGACTCTAACAAGAACTTCTCAGGAATTCTGTGTTGATTTCATCTCGGTGCCCATAGGCAACCCTCAGGAGAGATTGGTGGAGATTCAAGCCTCTGCTGACTGCAGGTGTCCCCCACCCCCCACCCTGTCCGGGGTTTGTTGTAATCCTTTTTTTTTTTTTTTTAAGATTTTACTTATTTATTTATTTAGAAAAAGCAGGCAAGCAGGGGGAGTGACAGAGGGAGAGGGAGAGAGATAATCTTAAGCAGACTCCCCACTGAGTGCAGAGCCCTAGGTGGGGCTCGATCTCACGATCCTGAGATCATGACCGGAACCAAAGTCAAGTGTTGAACGCTTAACCGGCTGAGCCACTCAGGCGCCCCAGTTTGTTGGGATTCTTGCAACAGGTTCCTACAGAGTCTTTACCTGTTAACACTTCCAAATAGCTCCCTCCAGGGATCTATGGGCTTCCTGGACAGGTGGACATATGGGTGGGGACATTCAATTACAGGATGGAGGGCTGGCAGGGCCTCAGAGCCCTTGTCCAATGTGCATCAAGGGAAAGAAATGGAGCACTGGAATGGTCAAGCCGCCAGGCACGGCGTGCATGAGTTAGGAACAGAACCGGGGCAGGAACCCAGGTTTCTCCTCTTCAGGGCTGAGGTACTTTTGTTTCCTTTTATAAATGTTTAATTACACAAGTAAGGCAGTCTCCTCATTTTTTAAAAAAATGCAGGTAAGTGTAAAAAATGTCTTTGATGATCACCCTGGGCCATCTGCTAGCATTCTTTTTTTTAAAGATTTTATTTATTTAACAGAGAGAGAGACACAGTGAGAGAGGGAACACAAGCAGAGGAAGTGGGAGAGGGAGAAGCAGGCTTCCTGCTGAGCAGGGAGCCCGATGTGGGACTCGATCCCAGGACCCTGGGATCATGACCTGAGCCGAAGGCAGACGCTTAACGACTGAGCCACCCAGGCGCCCCTTCATCTGCTAACATTCTTTATCCACACCCTCTGTTCTATTTTTCACCAAAGCACCCATTTCCACTAAACATACCACCCACTGGAACAAAAAGTCCAAGAGGGCAGAGAACTGGGTCTGTTGTGTTCACAGCCGAGGTCCCAGTTTGAGGATAGTGCCTGGCACAGAGCAAGGGTTCAATAAACACCTGTGAAAAGAATAAATGATATTCTGCCATCCTTCTTCCCTCCATGCCAAAGGAATTGCTATTATCAATTTGGCTTTTTTTTGTCTATTCCAAGTTACTTATTTTATGCAGGAGTTTTCCCTCAATTTGGCTTTTTTTTTTTAACCATCCAGACCAGCACCATCCAATAGGATGTACTATAACGAAGGAGATCGTCTATATTTGCACCATCTAATACGCTAGCCGCTAGCCACTGGCCACGTGTGGCTACTGAGTGCTTGAAGTGTGGCTGATACCACCAAAGAGCTGAATTTTAAGTTTTATTTAATTTTAATGAATTTACATTTAAATGTAAATAGCTACATATGGATGGTGACAACTGTAGCTGACAGCACTGTTCTGGACTTTTTTTTCCCCGTGCATTTACATATGTATGTTACTGATAGACCATTTTGCATTTTTGTGTTTTACATAAGTTTTCATGTTCCTTTTATCCTTCTGCTTTTTGCTTCATTTGGCTGAACACTATATTTTGGAAGTCCTTTCATATCAGGCCATATAGCTCTGCCCCATTCTTTTCTTTTCTTTTTTTTTTTAAAGATTTTATTTATTTATTCATGAGAGACAGAGAGAGAGAGAGGCAGAGGCAGAGGGAGAAGCAGGATCCCTGCCTAGCAGGGAGCCCGATGCGGGGCTCAATCCCAGGACCCTGGGATCATGACCTGAGCCGAAGGCAGCCGCTTAACCATCTGAGCCACTCAGGCGCCCTGCCCCATTCTTTTTTTTTTTAAGATTTTATTTATTTATTTGACAGAGAGAGACACAGCGAGAGAGGGAACACAAGCAGGGGGAGTGGGAGAGGGAGAAGCAGGCTCCCCGCAGAGCAGGGAGTCCGATGCGGGACTCGATCCCAGGACCCTGGGATCATGACCTGAGCTGAAGGCAGTCGCTTAACCAACTGAGCCACCCAGGCGCCCTGCCCCATTTTTTTCAACGGCCGCACAGAATTCCATAGTGGGGATGTACGGTAATTGGCTTAGCCATTTCCTACTGAGAAATATTCAGGCTGTTTTCAATCTGTTACCATTAAAAATCATGCTGCAATGAATATTACTATCCTATCTCCTTAGGCATAAATATGACCTTTCTCTCATGAATATTAATAATAGTTATTGTGATAATTATAATAATAATCTCTTGTATTTATTCAGGCTTTATTATGTGCCAAGCATTGTACTGAGCCCTTTCCATGTGTTACATGATTTAAATCTTATTACAGTCTAATAAAGGAGGTTTTGTTGTTATCTATATAGTACAGATGCAGAAACTGAGCACAGAGAGGTTCAGTAATTTGCCCAAAGTCACACAGCCGGTAAGTGACAGAGCCAGGATTTGAGCTCAAGCAGTTGCTTCCAGAGTTGCATGTCCAATTTCAGTTTTCCTAGCTCCTGCCAAACTACTCTGCAGAGGGTAAAGGGGCCATGCCAGTGTATTCACAGCCATAGGTCCCTCCCACGGGGCTGAAATGCCACCCTAGGGATCTCATTTCTGGGCTGAGACCCTGGGATCCTCGTTCTAGGGTAAGTCACACATCCCTAGAAACTGGAAACTTGGTGGGGCCAAGCTGTGATTTGGGTCTATTTGGGCAGCACCAAACTCCTGCTGATATGCCCTGCGTCTTCCTCCCAGGCTGGTGTGAGCTCAGAGAGGTACGGAGACAAGAGAGAGAGAATGAGAGCAGCTGGTGGACTTACGCAATCTGGTGGAAAGTGATACTGGACAACTGGCTGATTGGAAACAAACAGGAAAGGAGTCAGGCAGAGCTTCCTGGAATCCAGGTCTGCGAGTTGCCAAAAACAGGCCTCTTCTCTTAGGAACAATTGAATGTCACTGGGGTAACTGAACACTGCTGGCAAGAGAGGCCTCCTGCCCACAGCCTCACAGAGCGGCCTGTGTGAGCTAGGCCAGGCTCCAGAGGAAAAAGGGCCTGGCAAGGTGCCCTGCGAGGCCATCTGAGGAGACACTGCAGTCTCTCACCCTGGACCGGACTTCACCGTAACCAGGCTGATGGACCACAGGCTTGGGAATTCCCAGGGTGAGACTCAGGCACGGAGACGGCTCACGGGGAGGGCTCCTGCCCAGTGGTCAGGCCCTGAACTCAGAAGCCAGGATGCCTGAAAAGCAAAGACAGTAGGTGTCAACTATCCCACCCAGCTGTCTTTATGTGAGAACTGCTGTTATCATGGCAAACCCAAGGGCAGGAAGGGCAGTGGCTTCAGACATTTCTGGACCTAGCATCTGAAAAGTCACCTGGAATTATGGCATCCATAGTCTGTGTCCCTTTATCATTCTGCCCACAGATTCCTTCATCTCTGCTTCTCTTCTCTCTCACTCTCTCCTTCCCCAAGCCCACGACCAAATATGGCTACCTCATAGCACCTAAGCACGCAATCCCTTCCTTAAGCCAACAGCTGACAAAAATCACTCGATCATAATCCCAAAATCTCAAGAGAGAGGATCTGGTTGGCTCATTTAATCAGGTCCGCAGCTTTATCCAGTCAGCTCTGGCTGGAGGGCAGGGTTGTGTAGTTGTTAAGCATGGCTTCCTAGGGTGTCCACACCTGTTGCAAAGAGAGGGGCTGCCATGGACTGGCCAGACCCCACATAATGTGTCCCCGATGCTCTGTACCTGAATGAGTTAATCTACAAAGAGACTGAAGCCAAGTCGCAGAAGCTGCACCAGAAGCCAGGAATCTGTTTCTTCAGGACAGGACGGAGCCTTGCCTCTGGGGGAAGGCTGAGGCTGCTTGCATGAACAAGTGGACCCAGCGGTCAGGTGGAGCTCTGCAGGGCCTGGAGGAGCATCCAACCAGAGCCTTACCCCACCAGGAAGCCACGAGAACACCTACAGGAAATATCAATCATAATAATAATATGAAAGAGTGGTAATAGTAATCCTTATTCAGTGGTACTACCAGGCTTCGTTCTAGATATTTTAAAGGCATAATATTTTTAATCCTCACGATGATACAATGAAATAGATACTTATCATCCTCATTGCAGAACACTTGTTGAATGACTTAGCATTAACTGATCGCTTATCTCATTTGTCCATTTTCACTCACTCCCTAAACAAATATTTAATGAACACCCACTGGGTGCTAAACATGTGTGTACTGGGTGTTGGGCCCACAGTAGAGAGCAAAAATGATCCTGCCCTCACGAAGGTTATAGTCAAAGGTTGGAGGGTCTGAAGGACCGACAGTCATTAATTAGACAAAGAGGGAAGGGAACAGCATTCTAGGTAGAGGGAAGAACATGTGCTAAGGCCCTGTAGGGGGAGGGAGTGTGGGAAGCAAGAGCAATGCAGGCAGACTAACGGTGAGCCAGGTAGACATACTGAGAAACAAGCAACGTGCACCTGCTGACTCATTGAACCCTTACAACAATCCTGTGAGATTTTTAGTATCACTTTTGCAGATGAGGCGACTGAGGCACAGAGAAGGTAAGTAACTTGCCCAAGGACACACAGCTCCATCAGCAGTGGTGGGATGGGGGTTAGAACCCAGGCCTCTTCACCTGGAATCCCAAGCAGCTCTAATTCTTAGGTAAAGAAAGGAAAGAGACATTCATCCACTGGGGGCAGGTGTTTAGTGTGGGGGGCCTTCCAGGACTATTTTTACTCACAGCTGTAGCCACAGGATTTGTGGTTTCCATAACAGAGGGGTAAAGAGTGCATACAGCCTTTCTCAGCCACAGACAGGAATCCTTCCAGGCCGGTATTGACATTCAGCTGTAGGAGATGCCACAGGGAGACATACCGAGGAACCAGCCCAGGGAGAGGACAGTGAGGAGACCAGCCTTTATCCTGGAGGGGCTCATTAGGAGTGAGTCTGTTAGAATAGAAGAAACGGACTCTGGGGCCAGGCCAACCTCTGTTTCAAATGGCAGCTCTGTCACCCACACGCTCCGTGGCCTTAGGCAAGTTACATTTGAGCCTCCATTTCCTCGTACAAGCAGAATAATAGTGTCTAAAAAGTATCATTCTCTCTCCTTCCCCCATCCCACTGCTCCCAGTCCCCCCATCCCCACAATGCTTTCATCATTACTAGGTTCATATATCACCTTCCAGGTAAATTTTATTTTATTTATTTTTTTAAAAGATTTATTTATTTTCAGAGAGCAAGTGGGGAGAGGAGCAGAGGGAGAGGGGGAGAGGGAATCCCAAGCAGACTCCCGTCGCCCGACATAGGGCTTGATCTCATGACCCTGAGATCACGACTTGAGCCGAAATCAAGAGTCGGACGCTTAACTGACTGAGCCACCCAGGCACCCCACCTTCTAGGTAAATTTTAGATTAGATAGATAGATAGATAGATAGATAGATAGATAGATAGATAGATATACCTATATATGATATGTATACATACACATACATGTAAATGCCTATATTATATCTGTTAAAATGTTTTTGGCTGTAAGCACCAAAAAAGAAAAAAAAACCAACCAACAAATGTATTTTTAATTATCAAAAGTCTGGAGATAAAAAATGCCTGTTTCATGTGTCCACCTGTAACCTATTGATGTTTAACAGAAATCTCAAATTTAACATGGTCAAAGTTGAACTTTTGATTCCTGAACCCCCAAAAACCTATTTCTCTCTTACTAAACACCTGGTTGCTCAAGGCCAAAAGCTCATTAGAATCACTCTTGATTTCTCTCTTTGACTCACTTGTTCCACCCAGTCCATCGTCCAGTCCCGCCTGGCTTTCCTGTAAACCCAGAGGTAGATGTACCATGAAGTGAATGAGGCAAGAGTTCGGGGTGCCTCACCTGGACAGTGCTTTCAATGTGGCCACAGGACCACGTGATTCTGTAACACCTGCAAAGGTAAGGTGTTGTAACTGCAATCATCAAGTCGGCTGTCTCTCCAGCTTCCCCACATCCCTGCCTTAGCATCAGGTGGCATTGGGGAGCCATGGCGCTTGGGGGGATCAGCTGAAGATAAGCTACACTGGGGACTCCATTCGGTTTAGGCTTAGTGGGTGTGATCACAAAGCTGTCCATCTCTTCTAAGCACGGTGAAGGTACGGCCTGCTGTCCTGACATAGCAGTGGCTTCCAGAACCTTCATATGGCCCACGCACTGACTCACCTAATACCGAGACACAAAGGTGCAGAGACAAATGTCATACTGCTAAGGAGGCTGGAGCAGAGGGAGGGAAGGAATCTGGATCTTTGATGATATCATTGCTCTCCTAAATGAACCAACTCTGAAACTGTTCTACACCCAGACATCTTATAAGTAAGGCATTCATTTGTAAATTGGGTGTTGTTTTGTACTTAGAGCCAAAAGGATCTCAATAGATACAAGGACATATGCTTATGTACATCTGAGGTTTACCTGGAAGGGGGTGTGGATGCCGCCTGGGAGGGGGACGGGAGGCAGTGAGAAGCCGATGAGAGGGAGACTCACTTTTTTTTTTTTTTAAGATTTTATTTATTTATTTGAGAGAGAGGGAGAGAGAGTGTGAGCACCAGCAGGGGAAGGCAGAGAGCGAAGACTCCCCGCCGAGCAGGGAGCCCGATTCGAGGCACGATTCCAGAACCCTGGGATCATGACCTGAGCTGAAGGCAGATGATTAACCGGCTGGCCACCCACGCATCCCGGGGGGAGACTCATTTTTTCTGGATATTTTTATTCTGCTTGAATTTTGTTTACCTTGGGTCAGCTTTTCCTATTTCAAAAACTAGAAAGTAAAACTTCAAAAGTCAGTGGAACAATTGAGTTTTACATTTCTTTAAAGTGCACGAAATAAATAAATTTAATCTGGCAAGCCTGGTCCTTGCTGAAATAGTCTCCGAGAGGCTGTTAGGATGGCAAAAGAAGAAATGTTGACAAGTTCAGTTACTTAAGGGTGGGAAGGTGATCTGGGACCCAGCACGCAAAGCTCCAGGGACATTCAGAATTTTTTCTGCCTACCTTCCTGCCACTGCGCAGCTCAGTCAACACAGCCTGACATTCCAAAGGATTTCCAGGAAAGGAACACCAGCCACACCCCCTTAACATTCTTTTGAATGACTATTTCAAATGCATCAGCCTGCTTCCTCTTTGAAGACAGTAAAGAAAATGTTGCTGACGAGCTAAGAGACTTCAAAGATGGTTTTGCCCTCTGTTTTAGAAGTCAGGAGGTGGGATTTTTTTTTTCAAGGTCACACAAAGTCTAATTGATGACCAGGAGGGAGTAACAAGGATTCTCCTATCTGCGTGGGTGTATATAGTTTGGCCCCTTCATGCTCCTGGTCTGCCTGGCGTTCCTTATCTCTTCCTAAGGGCCTCCCTGATACTCAGTGTTAGCGCTGGGAGGATCGCCTTGAAAAAATGACCTTGACATTTAAAGTCCATGAGTTTAGAGAATGCTGCTTTCTATTTCTATAGCCCCTTTCTGGAGATTTACAGAGCATGTTAGCAAATGAAAGCCTCTGGAAAGTCCTATCGTAAAGGAAACTACTCAAAAAAAGAAAAAAAAAATTCCCCCCCAAACAGAAGCCCTGGAATCAGTCTATCTGCATCCAAAACCTCACTCTTCCACTTCCTGGCTGGGGGGCTCTGGGCAAAGCACATAATGACTCGGACTCTCAACTTCCACATCAATAAAATGCAGTTATTAGTAGTACCCATCTCACAGAGTTGTCATAGAGGGTGACCACTGTTTCAAAATATAGAAATTTCTGGATTTTAGAAAAGTAATGTGATTTATATGCCATATATTTTATAGCATCCCGTAATCAAACACATTGATTTGAAACATGAAGGCAGATTCACATGAGGAGGGTTTGACAAGATTATAAATAACCTCAGATCAGGTCAGCGTTTGCTCCCAAATGAATTTTGGTGCCAGACTTTGGGAAACTGTTGGTTTTCACAGCTTTTTAAAACAAATTTCAGAATTGTAGATAAAAAGAATGGGGGCTTGTGAGGAAAATAACTAGTATTTGTTGAGCAGTTATTTGAGCCAGGCAATGTTGCAAGCACTTCCCATGGATTAACTTCGTTGAATCCACAGAAAGACCCCAAGTGATAGATGCTATTGTATCTCCCCATGAGGCAGATGAGAAAACTGAGGCATAGAGGGGCTAAGTAACTCATTCAAGCAGCAGAGCTGGGATTAAAAGAGAATACGAATGGTATATCACAGTGCCTGGTACATAATTACCATTCTATAAATGGTAGTTATTATTGTCTTAATCATATCCTCATCGATGGTGGAAGAATTGTGATTGATTTTTGTTTTCTTCTTTGTGCAAAGGTGCAATTTCTAACTTTACTATAATAAAAGTATTCTCTGGGGGAAAAAAAATGTTTTTCTAAGATGAAACTCAACCTAATCTCTCAATTGTTCTTCTAACTCTTTCTGTCAAACTTGATGCCAGCCCCGGGCAGAAATGGATTTGTCACCTTAAATTTGACTTCCTTGGGCACAGCCAGGCCAGACCCTGGACATCCTGTGACAGTCTTGAAGGGGCATGCCTTCAAGAAGAACGTGCTGTTCCCCTGTGAAGAAAGCAGTTAGCTGACAGCCTCCAGCTGCAGCATCTTTGGAATCTGTCTCAACTTTCAAGCCAACGCCATGCTCTTCCTGAGTAGCCCCAGGTCAATGACTGAGCATGGGAGGGTTCCAGGGCTGGCCATCTCTGCCCAACATAGGGCTCCTCTAATCTCTGCTCTGGGGCCCCCATGGAGTTGACAAGGACTTGGCAGATCTGCACGGCAGCCTGAGGCTCCCTCGATCAATTCTGCTTTCTCTCATATTTATTTTTCACAAGCGTTAACACCTCTCCTACCCTCTGTAAACCTCACTCCATCTTAGCATCTGCTTCCCAGAGGGCGTGAGCTGACACACTGCCCCTTGCTGCCCTGCAGGCATTCCCACCCCACGTCCACATCTTCCCTGCCCAAGGAACCTCGATTTGGGGCTCAGTGAAGAGGTAGAAATCCCTCGATCTTTAGAGGGCGGGTTGCTCTCCAGTCCCGGCAGATAAAATCATGACCGGTCTTTAGGAAAGCAGTGATCCCATTCCCCTTCAGCAATGATTGGTCCAGAATGGGCACATGATCCAGCTCTTGGCCAGTGAAAGGTCAGGGGAAATCTGGGGATTCGCTTCATTAACAAGATAGAGCGTCAGGGCATGAAAGCCTTTTGCCCCGTCCCTTCCTTCCTGCTTTGATCCGTGTCCTGTGATCAAATGGCATGTGATGCCTCCATAGCTGTGATGGCCGATGGGTCTGAGGCCGAAAGCCAACGGCTGGAGGAGACAGAGCAAAAAGATGAGAAGAGCCTGCCTGGGTCCTTGACAACACCATGGAGCCACTGCAACAACTTCAGAGCTGCGGACCTTCAGACTTTTTGTTATAAAAGAGAATTACATTTCTTCTTCGCCGAAGCCACTATTAGTCAGACATGCTGTCACTTGCAGTTGAAAATAGCGTAACCAATGCGGTCACTTTCCCAATGCTCTATTACCCAGATTGCCTGGGGGGAATAGAAGGAAAGGAAGGAGGAGGAGAAGGAGGAAGGAAACCACAGCTGGCAAACCCTTGAAGGTGCAGAGCTCAGAGTTCCCGTAGGGATATTTGGACTTTCCCTGGAAGGGAGACATTCAGAAAATCCTCCCATCTCCAAATTGCTAACATCTACATATGACACTTACCTCTCCCCTGCTTCAAATCCTTCCATGACTTCCCATTGCTCTTAGGACAGAGTTCAAACTCCTCATTTTAAAGACCTGCAAGCACCCTGGCATCACTCTGACCCTCTTTACCTCATACTTGGGCCCCAGTCAGACTGAGCTGCTTTTAGTCCTCTGATATCCTATCTTACCTCTAGGTGTTTGCATGTGCTAAT